GTGGGTCTGAAGCTTGAAGATCCTGAAAATGCGAACTCAGTGTCTACTGAGAGAATTTTCAGAGTTGGATTACATAATCACAACGTGTACATGTGGTAGAGAGTTGGAATTCCAACTTGGTGGATATTTCACAATGGTACGGTGAAATATTACAAAGTCTGTGAAGGAGAGGAGTAGTGTAAAAGTGTGTAGGGGTGACTAAGGTTAAAATTAACAGAGGAATTCATTTCTGAAGTCAGAATGCAATAAAAGATTAAGATGAAAAAGTTACAGTAGGGACTTGAATGAAAAAGGAGGACTTAGGCAGTCTTTTGGCCAGCTTGGCTGGCTCTAAGGCTGACAACTGGCTTGACTTTTGAGGTTCAGTTGCGAAGAGATCTGCCCTCCTCGGCTTGATGAGGCACTAACGCGTCTTCGACTTCTGAGTCATCATCATTTGAGTTGGGAGTTTGATCCAGTTCTTCCAATGAAATTGACAGAGTATCAGCACTTGTTGGAATAGGTTCTTCTTCGTAATTGGATGATGATGGCGCGGAATCGTTAACAGAGTCTTCAGGTTCCTCAAAGACAGTTAATTCTTCTTCAGATGATTGAGCTTGCGAGTCTTTCTTGGAGTCGAGAAATTGAACGTGATTTGTTTTGACGATTCTACCGTTATCAGACAGAACTCGATAGGCTTGAAGCTCATCGTTGTATCAGCCTGCTACTATTCAGAGACAACCTGACCATAGCATAATAAATATTTAGAGACATTATTACATATACTACCCCCATAGCATATGTAATTAATGTCTATTTTATATGTACATAATGTAGAGACATTATTACATATGTACATATAAAAAACATTAATATTTAAATAAGTGGAATCACTATAATAGAGACATTATTACTCATTACATTAAGTTTTACTAGTCATGAAAGAAAACATAAAAATAAACCAAAAACATTTATAAATAAACATTTTTTAACATGAATCTACAAATAACTTCTAAACCTTAAGCAAAAATTAGAATATTATTTCAGATTCTTAATTCTCATGCAAAATAACCTAGGGTACCTCACCAGAAGTACCCCTGAATTATTACTCCTTCAGGTACTTCTGTGTACTCCGAGTGACACTTGCTCATTTTGCTAAAAACCCTCCCAGTTACATCATACTACATGTTGTGACAGGTCTAGACATGTAAATAAGGCTCATGCAGTTCGGGAAAAATCTACAAATAAGGTTGACATCATTGAAACCTTAACTACATTGTCACAACAACTGTAACTGGCTGGTCAAAAAAACCATTTGTGGCCCTTTTTGGCCCAATTTGCCTAACTACGCCTGATTAAGACCAGCCCACTGGTCATTAAAGGGTCCCAGTGACCATACCTTGGCTGAAATTTTGTCACAGCACCCCCTAATGTGTGTTACAAGCCTCACTTCAGCCCTCTGCCACCTGTAACCAAGGACTACAGGTGTCTAGGCAGTGCTACAGGTCACCAATGCCTAGTAGGAGGCTTTCACCTGCAAGATAGAGCTCTGAGCTCGCCTCCAAGGGCCCAGAATGAGTATATAAGGAGCCCTTCTTGCCCCCAAACTCTGATTCCCCATCTTGATCATCACCTACCAGCAATAACCACCTCCAACAACCAGTTTTCACCTGTTTTTGGCCCAGTTCCTGCTGTTTTTCATCCTGAATTTCAGCCAACCAACCAACAACTGTTCCCCAGCACTCTCTCACCACCTGTTACCCAGTTTTCTGAGCACTTCCAGACCAGTTTTCACCCACCTGAAGTCCCCCTTGGCTTGGAAATAGTACAAGTAGGTAATATTTCCTTGATACTTCAGTTGTAGGCATTTTGTCTGGGCATACTCCTTTACACAAAGGACCAGATCATCAGGTACATCAAAAATACCCCTGTTTAACAGGTCCTGATTCATTGGAGGGCACCATAAAAACCCCTGTAACTCAGGCCCCTCCCTTTATAAAAACTTAACAGTTTTTATTATCTCTTTTCTTAATATCAAACACCTCCCATTCCAAGTGTTACCCACACTTGTACACCTTTTTTCTTAGCTTTGCACCTGGTGTAGCTAGAAGAGTCAAGCTCTTGGCATCACCCAGGCTGACACGCTAAATACTGCCCGTATGGATTCGAGAATAGTTCTATTGAATTGTTCAGCCAATCCATTTTGTTGAGGGGTGTATGCGTCAGATTTTCGGGCCCTGATCGCGTGTTGATTGTAGAAATTGATTAGTTTTTGATTCACAAATTCAGTTCCTCTGTCAGAATGAATAATTGTGGGAAAATATCCAATTCTCTTAGCCTCAAGTTCTATAGCCTGTACAATAGAGTTGGCAGCGTCGCCCTTCCTTTTCAGAGGTATTGCAGTGCAGTAACGCGTACACACATCGACAACTGTCATGAAGTATTTGTGGCCTTCCCGTGATTGTGGAGAGATTGGCCCTACCAGATCTAGGTGTAGTTCCTCAAATGGTTTTGATGCCAGCGATGTAAGACTCAAAAGTGGTTGTGAAAACCCTTTTGCTGAATGGAGAAGGGTATGTTGGAGTTGCAAGCTCTGCCCTTCTATACTATCAGAATAACAAGACCACCAAGCTTAGCTTGGCAATTTCAGATATAGTGATAGGGATAAGTTCGAGATGAAGCTGCCGATTGATATGTGTGAGGGTATAAAGATGTTGTTGACTGTTGGTTATATTGATGAAGTTGTTGTTGATGGATATGGTTCAAGGCACTTTTGGTTTATGATGATGATGAAAGTGTTAAATCTGTATTTCAATGTATATGATTCTGAAATTGTAATGTGGCTATGACTTGTAGTTATGAAATAATATGTAAGATGGATTTATTTATAAGGGTGGTTGAGATGATCTGGTCCACTGGTGGGATGGTGGAGGGAACAACTGGCAGGCAGAGGCCTCCTTATATAGACAAATGTGAGGGATTTTGGCCCCAGGGTACAGGCTGAAAGATACTACTACAAAGGGACGCATATGAATGAACAAAGGGACGCATATGTATGATCAAAGGGATGCATACATGCAATATTACTAATACAAAGGGATTCAAAATAAATTAAAGGTATTCAGTTTACTACAAAGGAATCCAGTATGCAATATGCATCCTGTATTCATAATGACTATGACTAGAGTGAAGAATCCAAAAAATATCCCATGACAGGTTGAAATCTGTGTAACTTCTAAACTATAAGAGATAAAGGTATGGTTGTAGTGGGTGACTAGGGGTTATTTTACCTGAGAAATCCATTTCTGATGTCATTTTTACCATATCTATGATATATAAAGAGATAATAATAAATTTTTATATTTTTCTGCGTAGAAACACAGTATTATTTACCACATCCTCCCCCAACTTATTGGCTGTCCCCAGTCAATTCTGATTCTGACTGTGTTTTGGAGCTAATATTACAAATAAAAAAGAACATTTTTGGCCGTGTATAGTTGAGATTTGTCTTGACGTGTTGAGGAGTTGGTGAAATCATCTGTGGAGTTCTGATTGATGAAGAAATGTTGAGATTTTGTGATGTAGATGTGATTTTGTTTTTCAGAGTTTTACTTGATCTGTCCAAGGATATTGATGCCGGTGGTGCAGTTTATTTAGGTCTAGTGTTTCTCCAATTTGATTTTGCTGAGATGGTAAATTGGCAGGCGAGGTGTTGAATTTGATTATTCAGCTGTTTGACTTGAGGTTATTCCGTATTTGAGTGATAACAGTAAAAATTGCACTGTATTTTATGACTTAATTTTAGTAGAAATTGGGCCAGATGAGGGTTTTTGAACCCAATTTAAACTATCAATTTTTGTGAATTGTGTATTGTTTTACTCATGGGATTTTAAAGAGTTATGAAGAGAAAAAAAAACCATGATTTTCTAGGTTTTATTTCTTGACCTCAAAAAGATGGGGTGCACATAGTAGGTGCAGATAGGTTAGATTATTCAAGATTGACACAAGGTGGGGCTCGAACTCGGGTCCGCAGCAGTTGGACTAGTCGCAGTCCTTGTCAACTCGACTATGGTGGATTTGAAGGTTGCGGTCTATATGATATAGTAATCCAAGCGCGCCCGGTTTAACTTTCCATGCCCTGTCACAGATCGTGACAGGGTCCGATCGGCCTTAGAGCTCGGCGCTAGCCTCTCCGTGAGTCCTCTTCCATCTGGCTTCTACCAACTTCTCAGCGATTCGGCACTCAACTCCTCAACTATTCCGACTATTGACGATCCTCAAGCTAGTCGACAATCCATCCCCGCAGGTAAATGTTCCGATCTTCTAGTTTTCTGCTTTGTTTACTAATTAAATAATCTAAAAAAAATGATTTCTCTTTAAACTAGTTTTGATCGTTTTTAGTCGATCTCCGCGGCGAGTCTGGCGGATAGCTTCAGCGTGTTGGTGAGTTTCTTTTCGTTTCTCATTCTCTTCCTTTTATTGTTGCTAGCTTTATGTACTTTCACTAGCTGACAATCGTTTTCGATCTTCCCTCCTTTTGTTTTCGAGTAGTGATCCATGGATTAGCTGATCAGTCCCGGGTTTTCGAATCGCTTTCCCTTCCATATCCACGACCTCGTCGTTTTTGAATAAAGGATTCAAGATTGTCCTCGCGGTAAGATCGTTTTCTATCTTCTTTCCTTTATTCTTAAGTCTTATCCAATGGATTAGCGCCAACCGTTCTGAATTCCGAATCGATTTTTCTTTCATATCCACAACCTCGTCGTTTTTGAATAAAGGATTCAGTGTGCCCTTGACTGGTTCAAAAAGGAAGAATGCCCTTGATGGATATGTTTGACCAACCGATACCGTGGAGGAGTCACATCGCATGGTGGCTAAGTTGGAAAGGGTCTTGTTTTTCTATAAATACCACCGATTCGTCGCCGATTTCTTTTCCTCCTCATCAGCTCCCTTCAGCGAACTTCACTCAAGAAACTCCTCCCCACCACTCAATCAACACCTTTTCTAGCTCAACTTCAACCATGTCATCCAGATACTCCACCCCTGACTACACTCTTGACGACATGCGCTCTGAGCCTTCAGTCGAAGTAAGTATTTGAAGTTTGCTCTTCTTGAATCGGTGCTGTCATTAGTACTGATTCGTGTTTCCATGTTTCCCAGTATAATTACATCCAAAATGGAATTCGATACTATCCAGATCGTGATATGTGGAGCCCCGTGTGGGAGCCAGAACCTTCTCAAGCAACTCGAGCATCTCCCAACGACATGGTCGTAGATGAACCGTTCATTGAGGACGCTAAGCCGGTATGTCTTTTGCTTTTCTGTTTAGTCGTGTATCGTATTGAATCTAACCTTCTTTTCTTCTTGACTTCTCTAGAATATTGCCGCGACTGGTGATTCGAGTGATCAGGCGATTGTTGATCCTGCGCAGGCTACTGATGTCCACCAAGTAAGCCCTTTGTCTCGTTTTTTATAAAGATAATCCTTTGATCAAGCGACTAATTCATAGCCGTTGTTCATAATTTGTTCTAGGCTGAAAATACGGGTATCATGCCCAAGATCATGATTCCAAAAGGGCTGGAGATCGTTGAGACTCCCAAGTATTACTTCCCGCTTAAGGCAAAATGGCACTCCGTTTACGACCCACAAGGTCGATACGATCTCGTAAGTCGATTAATTCTTGTCATTTGTTTGATGTTGGATACTCATAACACTATTTCTTCCCAGTCTTTGATCCCGATGGCAGTCCCCAGGATGAGCGTCCATAATGATCCGCACCCGTTCGTGTGTGTTGCGTGGAACATTCATGATCCTGTAAGTCTTTCTTCTTTTATCCTTCTCATCGTTTTTTGTTGATCCCATTACTGATACGATTTGCTTTGTTATTGTTTTAAATTTCAGGAACTTCCCCCCGGACTCCCGGTCCCTTTTTTAAAGACCACGGCTCTGATCGACCTATTTTCGACTTCTAGTTCTCCGGCTCCGTCTTCGCAATCTAGCTCAGCGCCTTCAACCTCGTCCGACGCTTTGTCCACTGCTTCATCGGCCTATCCCCCAATCTTGGCTTATATTGGTTTGAACCATCAGGGGGTTCAAAGACTCCTTCTCGACGACCACAACCCGCCATCCGCCGTGTGTATCTATACTGAAGAAGATGTTATGCGCATCTTTGAAGGTATCGCTCCCGACTACGTTCATATGTGCTCGGAGTATCCGCCATCGTCTTTAGCCGAATCCGATTGCCGAGTAATTGTCAGCCGCTGTGATGCCAAGGAGTATCCCTTCTAGCTACACATGGTGCAAAACTTAAGATGTTAGAGTTTGAACTCATGGACTAAAGAGTCCGGGTGGTAATTCCAAGGTAATTACAAGGTTTGTAAATAGTAGATATGATTGATTATATCAATAAACATTGATATAATTTAAACAGAGGGGCCTGATAAATCAGGGGTTGTTTAATCCCTCAAAGGTATCATGCAAAAGCAGAGGATTTAGGTACCTGTTAACACTGGGGCCTGTTTAACAGGGGTGGTTTAAATCCCAGAAGAAAGTAGTAAAAATCTCAAGAAAGAAAGGAGCATAATTATGTACTAATAAAGCCCCTTAAGTCTTGAGGTTCTGATAGACAGAGAATAAAAGCAAGAGACAATACATTAACAGACAGATACAAATGTTAAGCATTTGGGATGGTGCGTAATCTAAAGTTGGTTGTAATAATCTGATGAATCCTTATTTGGAGGGACAGAGGGCTCTTTATATACCCGTGGAGGCATCTGGGAGATCAGGGTCAACTTGTGGGCGCTTCATGCATGGAGGATGAAACATGTGACCATATCCTTGGAAATGTGCCACAGGTGTTCTGTAGAAGATGCAAGCTGAAACATGTGGCTATTTCCTTGGAAATGTGCCACACATGTGTTATCAATATACAAATGTATGTTTGAAACAGACAATCAGTTTCAAGTCTTAAACCTGTTTATTTGCATATTTAATTACAAACATAAGCATATTTAACTTCCTGCTTGGAGGTACACCCTATATCTTTAACCTATTTTTGCTGCATGAAGTAGTTGAAATATAGGGTACCTTTGAGTGAGGTACCCTAGGTTATTCTTCATATAGATTAATAATATTGAAAAATAATGCCTTTATCATTTGATCTTCTCATTTATTTTCAGTACTATTCATAATA